GTGACTTGCGGGTCTCATTTATGTCTACTTGTACAAGCAAAAGAAAAGCAAATCTCTTTGTACACTCGAATAAAAAGTGCACAGACCAGCTTAGAGTAACCTACGAATCGCCGTTATAGAAACTTGTACTCCACTTTAAGAGTTATTTCTATACCGATTAAAACTAAACCCTTCGTTACTCTTTTTACTTCTTTGCTTCTTTGCTCTAATTTACTTCACTTTGCAACATTTATTTGATTAAATCTATAAGCTGCTACTACTGTCATAGAACAGTTATACAATCCTACTAAAAAGAGTATACAGCTATGTCACTGCTCTGACGTGGGAGACAAAGAACACCCCTGGCAAAAAAAAGCGCAGACCCAAACTTTAGTCGCAGACTGCGGGTATATCAAAATAAAGCCCATTCAACCGACACGGTTTTCTTCTCTTTAGCTTTTTTTATACTCTGGAGACGGGTACCCCCTGATTGCCTGTAGTTGAGTTTGACGCGCTACCTATGGGTGATTGGGAGACATTCTTTTTCCATTCTGTGCAGGAAAAAGCGGAAGTGCGTCGTCTCTAGCTTCTTAGTTAATTCTTAGAGGCGCAGATCAACATTGTTCTGAATTGTGAATTTAATTGTATAATTTCTGAAACAATGGCGACGAGCAATGTTTAAAAAAAGCTGCCGCCGAGTTAGCATCATGAAAGTTTATTGAGTGGAGGACGGGGAGGAAGTGGAGTTTACTGCCGACTCTTCATGAAATCCTTGTTCGAAGCTCTCTGGAACTGACGGTGTTGCTTGGTAGTCGAACACGCTGGACCCTGCTACTTTGTGGTAGGTTTCTCTGGTACGTTCGCAGGCCCTTCTCAGTGATGAGATAGGGTAGTTGGGATGAACCCGGTTGTTGTCTTACGCCACGGATTAACACCATTCCCACACCTCCTTCGCTACCAAGTCAGGTTTACGTCCTGAGGGAGATTGAGCCGCGTAATGCGGGGACAAAGAACTTGGTGTCATGCTTTTTATTTTTTTACATTAGTAAAAAAACATTAAGTGAAATCATATAAAATAAAATAGCTTCTTTATGTATATCTTTAATAAATAAATAAAATAATTTTTAAACTGTTGTTGACTAATAAAAAAATACGCGTTCAAACTTTTTTTTTACTTGATTGAAGAGGTTAATGTTGTAATTAGGAAGTCTCATTAATAAGAAAAATTAATCTAGTTAAATAAGTCTGAAGATTAATATAATATAATATGGGTATTCTTATCATTGTGTTGATTACCGTGTTTGATTATATAGGTCATTTTTATCTATAAAGTCCATTAAGAAAACTCAGAATAGTTCTTGAGAATGCCAATGGCGTGAAATGTATAATTTAAGTGGGCTAATCTGGATGAGCATTGTGAATGACATGCATTGGATTGAGAGAAAGAAAGAGAGATATGGGAAAAAATAAAATGATAAAATGATTAAAGAAATGTGTGTTTGAAAGAGAGACAGAAAAGGCGTAGTGAATTGAATATACAAGTAAATGTCCTCATTGTATTTACAGTGTGTACAAAAAAGTTCAATTTGAAAGTATTTTTGAAACAAGCATCTTTACCTATAAGCCTTTTTGTACTTTGAATATCAGTGAATACTTGGGGTACTCCATCTATTATTGTATACACATGTGTGCAATTATATTTACGGTGCAAAAGATGGTTTGAACTCCAATAAGAAGAGTGAACAATTGTTAACAGTTACAACATACATTCTCCATTATTCTGTATAAAAGTAATTTGCTAAAATGTACAAGCAGTTTTTATATTGTAGTCTTTAAAGATAAGCTGATAGACATGGGGTATATCGAGTAGCAAGCAATGGATGTCATAAAAGAAGCGCATTTTCATATTAAATTTGGTGGAGTGGAGTGGAATTTTGATACATGCTGGTTATTGCAGCTGCTTCATTGCTATAGTTTATTTGTATATCGGCCTTTTGCTTTGTTTTGTTCAGATGCAATTACTCAAAATATATTGCTTAAAATTGATATATTTTGAATTCAATAGATATTTGTGTATAAAAAATAAGAATTTGCAGAGGCGGCTTACAATGATTTGTAGACATATATACTAATTATAGTTTATCCAAGTCGGAATATTTTTGAAAGTTAAAAATAAGACTCGTCTTGCATAATATTTTGCAGATAAGCTAAGCTCTCTGTCCTCCTATATAGTTTTATTGATTTTTGATATATATATTCAAAAAATAAATTATTGGATATTGCTAGGAGTGATCATAAGAATTAGTAACCATGTAAAGCATTGCCTCTTATTATATTTTTCAAAAAAGAAAGAAAAAATGGACTTATGCCTCAGATATTATTTTTATATATTAAAATACATGGAGCATGGCAAAGACAAAATAGGTGGCTGGACTTTATATCATGCTGACCCTGTGTTGAGCACACTATATTGATATCGTAATGGTCTTTAGGGATATATAGATTTGTTATCCAATAAGAGAACGATTTAGTGCCACTGTTGTGCACTGAATGATGGGGTTGCCAATAGGACAGAGTACAAGGAGCATGTCGCTTCATCTAGCAAGTCACAAGCTTCCTCTACCCCAAAATGCTCTACCTTATTTTAAATGTTCGTGAATATCGGGAATAATAATAAAAAGTCAAATGCTCGGCAGCAAGTTATATTATGTTATTCATTCAATAAGGAAGTCTATATATAAAAGAAAGGGCTATCAAATGTAGAAATAATTCTAAATAAGCTTTAAGAACCTAGACTGATTCCTTCTAATCAAAATCACTGTTTATACACAAAACATTATGCTTAACAAAAATAAGAAAGTCAAATTTCTTGTTAGAACTAGATTCTTATTGGACATAAGCTTATTATTTACAAATAAAAATAAAAATACACAAATCTTATTAGAAATAAGGATGTAAATATTTAAGAGAAAGAAAAATAAAATAAAAATCAAATCAAATAAAAAAATAAAAAAAAAGACTCAATCTTTCCTGGCTGGGGTGTTTTGTTTCCGGTCACAGAAGTGATGGTTTAATGGTGTACACATACACATAAACATATACTCATCTTCTATCTCTTCTTCTTTTTCTCCTTCTTTTTTCTATCTTCTTTTTTGGTCGTCTATTGGACGTCATATCCTCACCTCCATCTTTACCTTTTTTTTTTAATTTTCTAACATATGCACATCGCCATTGTCACCGAGAATTTTCTTCCAAAGGTTGATGGCGTG